AGTTTTATTCAATACTTAAAATGTGCCTGGTAAATTCTCCATTAATCTACTTCCAGGGATTCATTTACCACTTATTTACTGATGACATTCAAATATGCCAATATTATTCTAATTTTTAAACTTCAAACACATTCTAAGGAATTTTTCTGAGTTACCTCAAACTCAACAAATCTAAAATTAAACAAATTTTCTACCCATCAAGCCCAATGTCCCTCTTAAATTCCTTAATAGTTTTATAGTCTATGTAATCACCTAAATTAAATATTTTAGTCATATTCTAATACTAAGCATAGTTCTTAGTATATTTATTTCTCAAATAAATAAATGGATGCATTTTCAGTGCTTTCTAGTCCTCTCCCTATAATCTGATGGTTTGGTAAGTTTAGTAAGTTCTATCCACTATACTTCGAAACCCCTCTCATGCCATCCCCTTCTTTCATCTGCTCTATTGCTGTTTTAGTACAGACCTTCAAGCCTCCTAACTCTTATATCTCTGTTGTCTAATACAGCTGCATCTCTGCAGCACAGATTTCATCACATTGCAGCCTGATTTAAATCTATGCAATTTCTCTCTTATCTGTAAACCAAAATTCTAATTTCTTCTCCTCACTCTCCACAATTATTGAACTCTTCATTTGTCACTTTTCTTGACTCATTAACCGAACCTTCCTCCAAAGCCATACTTTTACATTTTTGATCCTACTGTGTAATCTCATGACACCATGACTTTGATCATATTATTTCCTATGCTGGAATAGTTTTTTCTTTTACTCTATAGCCTGCTTATCCTTTAGTTTCTAATTCAAACATTTTCCAGGCCTCTAAGCAGAATTTTTTTTTTAACTCCTCAAAGCTTTTATGATACTTTTTCTTGATACTTCTCCTCTAGCTCTCAACACAGTCTAAGCTTTATTTTAATAATCTGTTCATGCACCTGTCTCTTGAAGTCCTAAAAAGGGCTGACCTCCAGCACTTAGTTCCTGTCCCACAGTAAATGCTATAGGAGTTTTCAAAATAGGCATTGAATTAAAGCCATGTATACATTATTTTTGAGAATGACATCTCTTTAAGGAGTAAGAGAAAGAAAATAAAATGAATGAGTGAGTCTTTAGTTTGAGAAGATTCATATGATCCAATCCATGAAGTGATAGGAACTCATGTTGCAAAAAAGGTCCCCTTTTCAGTGAACAGAAGTTAACTGAAAAAATAAGACACATAATAGCGAAGGAGCCCCTCTCCACTCCGCAGCCACCAGTCACTCAATACTGCTTCTTTCCTTTTCCTTCAGAGGCTTTGACAGTCTTTTTTTTTTTTTTTTTTTTTATTATTATACTTTAAGTTCTAGGGTACATGTGCATAACGTGCAGGTTTGTTACATATGTATACTTGTGCCATGTTGGTGTGCTGCACCCATCAACTCGTCACTTACATCAGGTATAACTCCCAATGCAATCCCTCCCCCCTCCCCCTCCCCATGATAGGCCGCGGTGTGTGATGTTCCCCTTCCCGAGTCCCAGTGATCTCATTGTTCAGTTCCCACCTATGAGTGAGAACATGTGGTGTTTGGTTTTCTGTTCTTGTGATAGTTTGCTAAGAATGATGGTTTCCAGCTGCATCCATGTCTTTACTGCAGTGGCAGTCATTCTTCATTATTTTTTCTCTGGGCTTGTTTTTCCCATCTTGTCTTCCAGGTGCTCTGAGTGTAGCTCTTAGAACTCCAGGGCTTAAGATGAGATAATGTGTTGCCTGTGGGAGGGAAGCACTCCGGCTTCCCTTTGAAAAGCTTTCATTTTGTTCCAGTACCCCTGAGGGAACATGAGCCTCTCTGGAATGTACTCACTGCCCTCTCCCTTTGGCGTGGGTGTGTGTTCTCCCTTCCTTGAGCAGTGGGATTGGAGAGAGGGAGGCAGACTGTTCTGGTTTCCTCCAAATACCCCCAAGTGCTGTATTGCATAGCCCCATATATGATGTGCTGGCAGGCAGACAGGCAGCAGTGGGGAGAGCTTGTTGTATCTGAATTTTAATTACACATGGTAAAGACTTCTTGCTAGTTTAGAGAAAGCTACTCTTCAGGTTTGCTTTCTTTCAGTTAAGGGGCATTTTATCCAATTAGAGGGAAATTATTAGAGGCCAAGTTCTTATCTCAGTCTCTGCAGATTTACCATAAAAGAAGATGCTAATTATACTTACCTAACCAATGGTAATAGGCTCTGCTCCAGTAGAGGAATCTTTTTAAACTCTTGGTTATAAAAATACTATACATGTCAAGACCCCATGTGCAACCATATCCAGCTTCAACATTTATTAATTTTTACAGCACATTTTATACCTCTACCAACCTCTATGCTCCTAGATTATTTAGAAGCAAATCAGACATCACATTATTTTATTCATAAATATTTTTAAGTTTACAGGAATCCTGCCAGCAATATTGTTCTAACAGTTTACCTTTGATTAATAAACTTCTTATCCCACCTGGAATCCATATTTTGTTGCCTGAAAACTTGAAAAGTATTTGGGACTTCCACAGTATATTGATTTAGTAAAACTCACATAGAGAGTTGGATCGTGTGAGTTAGCTCTACCCCAGTGATTAATGTATTCTGTACACAGTAGCACACACGGTACAGTAACGCCCCTTCTTTGGTCACCTAGTAACTTTTCACTAGTCAACACCAAACTGAATAAACCACTATGTTGTGAGAAGGTGCTTGGCTAGCTGACTTGGATCATCTCCTAGAGTTTAGGAGACATAACCTTTATCACCAAGTTTGAATTTGCAAAACCTTTAGGCTTTGCTGGCAGGAGAGAAAATACCACTTTTGGACCATAAAATGGATACGGAATACATGGGCTCAGGTAAACTGGGCCAAATATTGAAGCAGATTTGGAGACAAAACCAGATGCTAAAGCAGGCACTCCTGGGTGATGACCTTTGTGAGGGGGCTGGTGGGGCCACTTGGATGGCCACTGTGGTCTTTCTGGGTCAGGAGCTCAGCAGGGCCCTTCACCAGCTGCTGGAGCACACCGCAGGCACCCTGCATTCCACCTGCCAGCAGCTGCATGTGCTGCTTGACAAGGAGAATCAATGTGTCTGGAGAAAAGGCAAGTATTTTTTTATAACTTATTCTTTCTCTAAGAAATATTGATTAGGGCAAGATCTGAGAGGGACTATGAGCATACCAACAAGGCTAAGACGGAGTTTCTGTCCGCAAGAGACTAACAATTTCATACGGGAAATAAGTCGAGACAAATGAACAATAATGCCAGGGACATTGGGGCCAGTCCCATTAGAAACACTTGAATGAAGTGCTTTTGGACTTCAGAAGCATTTTAAATCCCATCTGTAGGGTGGAGAATTGAGAAGTTTGCTAGAAAAATGTAGTATTTAAGCTGAAGCTTAAAGAGTGAATTGGACTTATGCAGCAGGAAATAGAGAGTTGGTATTTTTTGTAGGATCCAAGACTTAAGAGACAGGAAAATACAGGCCTAGTTTGAGGCAGAGCTAGTAGTTTTTTTTTTTTTTTTTTAATCAGAATATAATATTCTATTTCTAGGGTCATTTGAGCTTAGACTTATTAACTGCAAAATTCCTGGGAAAACTGGAGTGGGTTGGGATAGGGAATTGGATCCCTATACACTGAGGCTGGAGAGGGGTTCTTGGGAATAGGTCAGTTATGGATGTGGAAAAGTACAGCAGAGCAGGAAGAATGTGGAATCTGATTAATACAATCCTAGATAACAACAGTTACTCCAGATAAGCATCTAGGTGGCATCATGAAATTCAACTCTAAATAATACAGTATCAAGATAAGTGGGCAGGTTCCATCTATGATGAAATCCAGGGTAGATGATATTAAGAAATTCAGTCTAAAGGGCAAATAGTGGGCATCAGGGAAATCTTTCCAAAGGTAGCATGACTGAGACGCCATCAGCTGCAGCCCAAAATCAGACCTTTAATCTCTGGAGGGAATGGAACATGGTCCTTGGCAACATAACAAGACAAATATATATTCAGAAAAAAACAAGGACTTGGCGAAGGGATGATGTGGTGATGGTTTTAAAAACACTAAGTTATGGGGCCTTAAATTACATATTCTTTAGTTTAGAACTGAATTCTAAAGACTAGAGAGGCACTAAGCCTGCAAGAAGTCATCAGGTGACCTCAGTAGTGAGGAGAAGCAGGATGAACAAATAGGAGCGTGGGAAGAATGATGATGGAGTGAGAGATTATATCAGATTTGACCATACTGAGAGTTTACTCCAGAATGAAGAAGGTTGACCTGAGTTAACAGGCTTTGAAAAGTCACTTCACGTTCCAATCAGAGAATTGGTATGGTCAGAGCTATTCTCTAAAGGACTAATTTGAAAATTTCCAGTGATCACAAATTCATCAGGAGGAATAATATGAACCTAATCCAATTCTTATAGTAGTAACTGGGCTCCAAAACGTAGCATCTACATTGGCAGAAATAATGGAGTTATGGTGTTTCTGCCAACCAAGCCACATCTGAAGTGTTCACCTAATTTTCAGCCCAGCATTTTAAATGGATCATTGGTAAACTATTGTACATCCAGTGGTAAAAGAACAGTTCTCAAAATCATAGCAAATGAAAAACAATTGAGGGAGATGTTGACTTCAGTTCTTATTGGGGGAGCGAGAAGTTATGACATTTGTCTTTAAATATTCAAAGTATCTTTATAAGCAAGAGGGATTAGATTTACTCTTTGCTACCATGTTAAAAGTGGTTTGTTTTCAATCCTACAATTGTTAAAAGAGTGACAGTTGTACAATTACTTCTCCTTCATGAGATTGGCTTAAATGCCCAGTAAAGGTCTTTGTAGGTTTCTAAAATTATCTTGCCATGTTTCATTAGATGGCAATGCAGAAACATGATTTGGTTTAGTTTTGTATTTATTCTTTGTGTGTCTATGTATGTGTGTGTAGAAATCGTTACTTTCATAGACTGCCTCATAAAAATAACTGAACATTTGGGGAGCACTGCTGCACTTCTAAAGAAAGAAGAAAAGGAGATGTGTAATTTATGCGGCATGCATGATGAATGTACTCCACAGCAGACAATGTCCTCCATTCAAGATACCAAAGCAGCAGACATTGCTGCAAGAGGGGAACGAAATGTCATAGAAACAGTTACTGTTTCTCCCACAAATGGAGAGGACAGTCATTACACAAACCAGGTCCAGTTAGAAAAAAATAAAACACATATGAGTTCAGCATTAGTGGAAAAAGAAAACAATACATCACTAAAAGGATGTGTACTGGGGCAAGAAGAGTCACAGAACAAAATGTTCCCAGATAATGCAGAAAATGAAGATGATAAACAAATGGAACACATGACTGTTGAGAACATAAACGGCAACAGGAAAGAGATTCATGGCATAATCCAGACAACAGAGAGAGAAATTCAAGAAACCTCAGAAAGCCCAAGAGAAGAGATGACCACGTCCTCAATAATATGTGATATCTCCAAGAAATATATAAATAGTACTCTTCCCAATGATTCAGAGAATATAAAGCACAAGAATAACATAATGGAAAAGGAGTAAGTAAATGCAATGTGGGAAGTGCTTAAGTATGCCTACTTATATGTGTGTTTCTATAGTCAGTACATATCTTAGTTCATTCAGGCTGCTAAAACAAAACATCAGAAAGTGGGTAGCTTTTAAACAACAGATATTTATCTCCCACAGTTCTGGAGGCTTGGAAATTCAAGATCAAGGTGCTGGCAGATTTGGTGTCTGGGAGGTGCCTTCTTACTGTGTCCTCACATGGTGGAAAAAGTGAATGAGCTCCCTTGGGCCTATTCTATAAAGGCATTAATCTCATTCATGAGGACTCCACCCTCATGACCTAATCATTTCCCAAAAGGACCCACCTCCTAATACCATCACCTTGGGGGCCAGGATTTCAATGCATGAAATTTGAGGAGACACAAACATTTAGACTATACCAACATGCATAGTATTTATACATGAATAAAATTTCCATTTCATATCTCCCAAAGATATTGTAAATCAGTAATTCAGCTTAAATTACTCCTATGAAAATTTATATGGCCACTATTATTAATATTGTTATATTTCTCAAAGCTATATTTCTTACAGCTTTAAGAAACACATTACTTTTTTTAAAGAGGAGGGAATTGAGTAGACAGGAAAGTAGTTAAAATGATCAATTGTCCAGATCATGAACACTTTGCAAATTACTACTATTTCAATTATAGTAACAAAAACTAGAAGACTGTAGGGAGTTAGAAGATTTGGAGAGAATGTTTTATCCTTGGATTCACTTTATTTATATTCTCAAGAAAATCATTATGAGTTTTAAGCCTGTGTCTGTAGAACTCTTGGGATTTCATGGATGAACTTTGGGAGGTACTTAAAATTGAATGTGTATGTTCAGACCTATTTCATTTCCCTGGATATGGTCTAGAACTATCATCAGATTCTCTAGGAGACCACGACTTCAAAAAAGTGAGAAAGATCCATCTATTTTGTAAATTTTATCTCCTATGCAAAGAGGTAATAAGGCCCTATTTGTTCATATAAAATAAGATATTCACACCCATATTTTCACAGACAAACATAACACGCTTAGAAGTGAAAAAAAATTATTTTGTTTTGGGAATCAGACAAACTTAAATTTCACTTTCTGTTTTATTATATACTAATTCTATGACCCTGGGCAACTTGCTTCATTTCTTAGCCTCATTTTCTTATTTGTAGAAACAATATATACATCCTGGGATTATTTGGTAAGGTCAAATGAGAAAATCACTTAAACGACCTAACACCAGGCCACTTTTTCAGATATTCACACCAGGTAAATGTTAGTCTATTCGTTTATTTTAGCTCCAAAAACTCCCACTTTCTTCACCTGCCACTTACCACTATTGTTCCATTACCTCCATCTCTGCTGTGATGTGCTGATGCCCTTTCAGGTGTATGATACCATTTTGAAGACTACGATCTTAGGCAAGTCATTTTGCTCACCTTGACCCTAGTTATCTTGCTATAAAATGAAGAGGTGGTTCTAATTTGGCTGTAATGTTTCTACAGGTCAGAGAGTCTGATGAATTTTATGTTTGAGAGTATTCAGTGCATGATAGACCTACATGATTTGTAAGAACTACCGCTCTGACAAAACAACTGCTAAAGTAGTCTATATGTGGTTACCTGTTTCACTTGAGAAAAACATTGAAGCTTCATATTCTCACATTCAGAAATGACTCAAAGCATCGGTTAATGAGTCATTGCCTGAACTACTCCCTCTAACACCTCCTTTAGGTGTTTCCTGGTTAGTGACTTCCTCTTTGCAGCACCCAAACCAATTGTGCTTCGCTTGTGTATTTGAGAAGTTGAGTACTCATTGCAATCCCTTGGCCTAGGAAACTATCATGCCACATAAAAGATGTGTGTGATAAACCCAGATAGCTTTCTGAAAGAAACCTATCTCTTCCTGGCTGTCCTGGTGTACACAAAAAGGGAAAATAAGGCTAGAATAAACCAGTGTGATTACAGTCATCGGTTACTTAAAGATGGGAATATGTTCACAGAAATGCATGGTTGGGTGATTTTGTCAATTATGCAAACACTGCAGAATGTGCATATACAAATCTAGATGGTACAGCCTACTGCACACTTAGTCTATATGGTATAGCATATCGCTCCCAGGCCACAGACTGTAAAGTATGTTACTATACGGAATACTATAGACATCTATAACACAATGGTAAGTATTTGCGTATTTAAACATATCTAAACATAGAAATGGTACAGCAAAAATACAGTATTATAATTTTTAGGATCACTATTATATGTGCAGTCCATTGTTAACTGATATGTCTTCATGTTCTACATACCTGTATTTTATTTTTTAAAGTTTTAATTAAAAAATTTTTCTTTTTTTAAAATTTCAATAGGTTTTAGGGGAACAGGTGGTGTTTGGTTACATGAATAAGTTCTTTAGTGGTGATTTCTGAGATTTTGGTGCACCCATCACCTCAGCACTGTATACTGTACCCAATGTGTAGTCTTTTATCCCTCACCTCCCTCCCACCCTTTCCCCAGAGTCTCCAAAGTCTATTGTATCATTTTTATGCCTTTGAATCCTCAGAGCTTAGCTCCCACTTATAAGTGAGGAAATAATAAAATGTTTGTTTTTCCATTCCTGAGTAACTTCAGTTAGAGTAATGTTCTCCGATTCCACCCAGGTTGCTGTGAATGCCATTATTTCATTCCTCTTTATGGCTGAATAGTATTCCATGGCATATATATATGTGTGTGTGCATTACATATATAATGTATTATATTATATAATTATATATAATATATATTATATTA